GAATACATATAAAAAGGAAGCAGGCAAGAAAACAGCTTTTTGCTGCACAATTCCCATCTATTTGAGGGCCTTGAATGTGCATGTGAGTACTCATATCTATTCATAATTCGTTATTTGTCATTGTTACCGAATCTGTTGATTCGACTGCTTTCGGCCGAAACCAACATGTTGATTTTCTAAGCAATTAATTTGATTAACTGCCAAAAATGGTTGCGGGCTGCGGTTTTTCAAACAGGGAGGCTCTTTTGATCTAGCTGATCAGGCCGAATGCGGCGAGAGTGAGTTATAAGTCCGTCGGGTATTTATCATGAGCATTAAGTGTTATTAATTAAAAGTTCTTACCAAATAATTGTGGCTATGATATAAGAGATTCAAGGCGAACGCCAATATGGTGATTATGCTGGGGGACTTTCGCTTGGCAACGGAAATTCCTCTATTTAACGTAAGCATTGGATACATCATACCTTTCTGGATTTATGATATTATTTTCGTTGGCTTCCCGTTACGTTAAGGCCATATCAATAGTATTAAATCCATTAGTTGTATACCAACAACCAAGACAAAGCCAAATACTAGCCAAGTTCGTTGCCTAAGTCGTTCGCTTTGCAGCGAAGTTCGTTGCCTAAGTCTTTAAATTGCAACTGTGAGAGGCGAAAAAGGTTGCTCCGATTTTCAACTCGATTTTTGTCGGATTGTGTAGTCACTTTTTGGACAATAAACACATTGCAACGATGTTATCAAATAGCCAACAACATGGCCACCTGCCAGCCACTCCCCTTTTTCTAGCTTTGGATTTTGGTATCGTGGGGCGTATGCTTCACTGATTAGCTGTTGCCAATTTTTGCCGGCAATAAAAATTAGTCGCAATGCACGAATATGGATTTGGCTTTGTGCTCGATTTTTTTCCATTTCTGTTCCTTTTCAAATTTGAATTTGTATACTCCGTCGTTTCGAATGCAAAAATTGAAAACTCTTTAGCCTGCCAATCGAACGTTAATTAATTACGATTTATTGACTAAATTTATTGATTAGACAATTGACGTCTGTCGATGTTGCAGTCGTTGTTGCTATAATAACGTTTTTGGCTTCGCTTGCCTCAGTTTTAGTGGTTGCCACACATTTTGCTCGCTCGCCACAATTGTCGTCAATTAATTTTGTTTTGATTTTGCTGATTTGATACGCCGACGACGCCGCCTTGCAGGTGGCATTGAGATTTAACGGCCAGTGTTTTATACTTTTTTTCTCATTCGAAAATTGCTTGCAAATCAAAAGTGAATCAATCATTAATTACAAATATAAATCGTTTTAGTATCTTGGCTTACTAATTTCGATTTGAAAGAAAAAGTTCAACTAATTTTTCGCACAAGAGTATGTAAAAGAGTATGTAGCTAAACGCTTTAAATGGAAGAATCCAACTTTTTTATTTTGACTGCCGTATTTAAAAAGCTTTAAATACCATTTAGTGAGATAATATAATTAACTTAAAATCCTGATATAAAATACGTCCAGTGTAAAATCTTTCTTGTTATTATTATTTTATTATAATAATTTACCAAACCACTAGCATCAATCTGTTCTTAAATAAGTCCCGTAGTTAGCTTCTTTCATGTAGAATAATCCATTAATTATAAGATAATACTCATCTTAATTGTGTGACTTCCTTAGTGCTTGGCCTCAACGACTTCCCTGATCTTTTAAGAAACTCTTTGAGTTTCCATTTGAAGTTCCAATTCGTCTCGGCCAAGAAACTAACGGAGAGAAATGACTGACAAGTGTACGGCAGAAAATTTCCATAGATCTACTCGCAAGCAAGCTGATCTGATGGTGTGAAATTCCTAACTCGCCACTCTTGTGGCCACTTCTTGCCGCATCAATCAACGGCGGCAGCTTAAATGCTGCATCATGACAAAACCATTACACTTGACCAGGCTCAAAGAGTGGATGGTCGGCAGATGCTCAGATGACTAGGCTTCTTGGCCGTGATTGATTGATTGGCACCGTGAGGTGAACTTGGGCAACCCGGCTGATGCTTTTGTCTAAAAGCCGTTTAGAATAACACCACAACGAGCCAAAACCAAAGCCTTGGGATCCCAAGTCCAGGCCAGCAGCGAGAAATTATGCATTGTATTGGTAGATAAGCCAAAAATGAAGAAAACAGAAATAATGTTTAATCTGTGCAATGCACCCTCACCTGAAACGTTCCCGTCTACACTGGGGAAAAGTTGATCAACTGAAAAAAACTATATATGATTTTTAATATTATGTGAATTATTCAAATATATAAATGTATAGTATCAAAGTTATACTAATAAAGATTGTGTTAAATTACTATTACAACTATTTCCTATCAAGATGGTCTTTTGCATTTTTAAGATTGGAATACTCTTAGACCAATATCACAATAAGAATCACCTGCCACACACCAAACATTTTCATTACCAAAAGTCTCTGCATTTTCGGTGTTTATTAAAAAGCGTTCCCATCAAAATAAGAAATATTTGAAATAGCCCGCAAATTTCTAACAATCCTTGGCCAAATTTTCCCCATGTGTAAGGAGTCGTTTTGCTTATTCTGGAGGATCAGCAGCAGCAGTAGAGTACCAGCCCCTGGCCAGTTGATTGCGCCTTCATTATTATGCCAAACTGTGCGCCGGCATTCGTTGAATTTGGCTTTTGCAATTTGCTCTCGATGCCGGCCGGCCGTTTGCCTCCTTTCTGGCTGGAAAACCAAACTCCTTCGTTTTGGGGGCATTAAAAATGAGCTCGACGTAACAGGTGGATGCCGATGCCGATGCCGACGATGCTCGACGTGATTTTCGCCAAATCGTTTAGATTATTTCGAGATTGCTTGCGCCAGTCGCTCCATTGGCACTCCTTCACTCCACCCCACTTCACTTCAACTGCCTTCAGTCCGCACCTTGCATTTGAACTTGAAACATTTCATTTTTTCTGTTTTTAGCCGCATGAAGCTGGGGGCATCCACAACATCCACTATCCACAGCATCCAGTTCTTCGGCCGGATCGATTAGTGGCATTCTATTGCGTTCAATTTTCCATGTGCAACATTGAGGCGATCGTCGAGAGCGCTGCCATCGCCACTGGCACAATAAACACGCGATTTATTTCATGCCAGGCATTCAAGTGCCGCCTCAGTCGGTCAAAGCCAAGGAGGAGCCCAATCCAATCCTCGTGGCCTGCTCTGGACTCACCTGGACCGACTTGCCTTGGATCGGCCTGTGGTATGTGATAATGGGATGATGGTATGATGATGCATGCCCAGCATACACAACAACAGCGAGCGGCCAAATCGAGCGAAGGGCGAGGGGAATAAGCTGAGCTCCAACTTTTGGGTATAGCAGTGGAAATGCTCTATGGGATTTCGTTTATAATTTCCCTTGGTGTATTTTAAATATAAATCATGGATATTTGGGTTTCGTAATACCTTGATTGAATGATTTTTATAAATTCTATAATACTTTTAAATCACTTCAAAATGGTCGAACTTATTGTAACTGGAGTTTATTTAATTTTTCGTTATTTAATATAATATTTAAAAGAAAATTCTAATATAATAATTTAAAATCTATTTGGATTAGCCGAAATTTCTTGAATGTATTTCTTATTTCCTTGTGTAAACTATTTATACGTACTTGCCAGCATAGTCTCCCAACTTTAAGGGTATTTACAACAGTAATAATAGCTGCCCACTATTCGATTTTTTTGCGGGCTTTAACTAGCGACCAAGGTTAGTCGCTGGCTTGCTGGCAAGTTGCTGCAACTATCGGTCGTAGGGGGCTTACTCTGGCGCATTTTAGCCGGTAATTGCTTGTGATGTATGATTTTGAGTTCTAGTTTTCCTGGCCTGGGAATATTTCTGAGCCGGCCCCGGCTTTTGTTGTCCGCCTGATTGCTGGCGATGCCTATATATGCGGGTGATGTATGTTATATAGCCGCAGCCACAGGTATAAGCTATAGCCATAGATATTGATTTGACAGGCTCTGAGCGAAGTCTTCGACTTGGCCAGCTGATGATGATGGGATAGCACCGACTGTCACACTTTCTAAGCCGAGGAGGCCACTTTCACCCAATTAGAGTGCGATATGAGCACGGCCTGGAAATATGCAAAGTACTAAAAACCACTGCGTCCCTTTCCCGCCGATGACAATCTTTTGTTTTCACTTCTGCGGAAACAAAAGCCATAAGGAATAAATTGTGAGCTGGTAGCCGCGCATTGAACTCTTGGCTTCAACAAGTGCACAGCAGGATTCCAAAAAAGATCACCGATATCCTACGCCCAAAAATCGAGAAAAAATTGAAAAGAATTCGATCCCCGAAAGCCTGCAATTTTGCTTCATTGTGGGCTAAGGCCATAAGTTGGCCAAGGCGATCATATCGCCTTATTGTTTGCCTTAACAATTGGGCCAAGTTTTCGGGCTTCTATCTTTCACATGATTGATCGAGGAAGCCGGGGGAACTGCGGGAGAATCCAAAAGCCACAAATATTCTATACATGCTGACAATTTCTCCCCCACCTCGCGGTATTTTCGTTGTGCTTTTCATGCCATTTCGATACGGGCCTCATTTTTCTTGCCACAATTATGAAGAAAGTTGGCAGCAATTAGAAAACGCACATCGATCAAAATCTCCTCCCGACAACGAACGTCATGTTCGAGTGAGTGCCGTGTTTTGTTTGTTTGTCCAAAACGGCATTTCAACCTGCAGACAAGTGAGTGTGTTGCTGGGGAGCCCGGATGAACGCCGAGCTCCATAAGAGCTATTAAGACATATCGTTCTCTGCTATTGTTATATTAGAATGTAATGTTTTCAAAATAAATCAAACCCAGTTCTCTGGACTTCAAAAGAAAGCCACAAAAATACAAGATTTTTACCAATCGAATGATATCAGCATTTGCTAAATAATTTATTTTCTAAACATTATTTAAATATTGATGGCTAAGCTTTTACACTATTTTTTGAGTCATTTTAGCCAGTATATTTCATTCAGATAAGGCACTAACCTATTTTAAATCCAAATTCTGTCAATATAAATATATCAACTTCGTGCAACAACATAAGGCCTTACAATGTCCCGTATAATTGGCAGGGAGGAAATTTCCAGAGACAGAGGATTGGCCCAGGACTTGAGGAGGGAAATAACGCGCAGCTCGGCGGAAATCAGCTTCAACTTTTGGCAGGAGTTTGAGCACATCCGGTCGACCCAGCGAAATCGCATGACGCAGGAGCGCTTGCAGCGGGAAAGGATAACCGGATTGATCCGGGATGGACAAGAGGAGGCCAGCCAGGAGGCGGAGGCCCTGAGCCGATCGATCAGTGCTCATGGCATCACCTCGACCACTTTGCCAGCACCATTGTCAGCAGTTCCCACTGCGTCTATGGTGAAGAGCTCCTTGATCCAAGGAGTCAAATCTTTGGCTAATCGCTCAAGTTCGGGTGTCAAGTGGAAGCCGCCAAAGCAGAAGTTCCATGCACCCAAGTCGAATAAGCCCAAACAGAAGAACGAATCCAAAGAAGAACCTACCTTGCCATCTCCAGCCCCATCCCACATTCCAAGCGCACCACCGCCCTCCCGAGCCACAATGGTCACCCCGAATATCTCCAACAGGGTAACTCCCAATATATCAAAGTATCGATTGAGCAACAAGCCCAAAAAATAATCAAACGTTGGATGCCCTTTTCATAATAACTAACATTACAATAAAATGCACAATATTAATAAATAATAAAAGTTATTTCTGATTTATACTTACGACACATTTTAATCCTTTAGTGAACCTTAAGGTCGTTCTTACAACCTTTAATATTAATTAACTTGAGGTCATTATTACAGGCTTTAATATTAATTAGCTTGAGGTCGTTATATACCTTTCATATTAATGATAAATATTTTAGGAACTGATTTTTATTTCATACGATGTTAAAATTATATTTTTTTGTGCCCCGCATCAACCGATTCCACAGGTCCAAGCGCGTGACGAATGCCACCCGGTGTGCACCATGCACTACAAATTCCGGCTAAATCGTACACATAACGAAACTAAAACAGGCAACAAAGGCTGCGCCGAGGCAGAGACTTGCAAATTAATTAACGGTACACGGGTCTCGAGGAGATCCGAAAAATCAAAAAACACGCACCCCAGACACCTGAGTAATCAGCATTATGTGGGCATGGCCATCGATGGCGGTGCTGGTGTGGTGGTACGCGAACTTCTCGATAAATCACGGATAAAAAACAATCAGCGAAAATGTAACGTTATTCATCACAGGTGGTAAATATTTCAAACCAAAACTGACAACAAACGCGCGCCGAGCTAAAAAACAAAAACTCAAACACAGCGTCGTTGTTCGCGTTTCTGGTTTCGGTTTCTGTTCTCAGATTTCCGATACTCAGATTCGTACGATTTGTGGGTCAGAATAATTAATAAAAGCGGCTCTTTTTGGCGCATGACTGGGCCATAACAAAGATGTGGCAACACACAAAGAAAACAGATCAATTTCTGATAGTTATTACTCATCCCGATCCCGTAAATTACAAAATTATTCAGAGCATAATAAAATAAAAGTTCTTAGCATAAAAATATATGTACATATATTTGAACAAGCCTTAAGCAGTGAATAAGTTTTAAATTAAATATCATAAAGAAAATATTTTTAAAATTTGCTGTGCACAGTTTTTGGCATATCTGTCGTCACTTTGACCCATGCGCACCAATAATCAATCAAAACGTCTTAAACAAATCACTCGTTCCGCATGTGCAACTACCAAAAAAGTCAACAGAGCAGAGACAAAAATAACTGAGCCAAAGACTGGCTGACTGACAAACTGACTGACTGGCAAGTTTGGCAACTGCAAGGCTCTGAAACTCCGGCGAACTGGAGAACTGTGATGGACAACAGTCACGATTTGCATGTGCGACAACTGTTGCCAGAGCGGCAACAACGACAACGGCCCAAACAACATTCAGCCAGGCACATTGAACTGCCATTGACACGGGGGAGAATCGAGGAGAACGCCAACCCGGAGACCGGAGATCGGAGACTGGAGACCAGAGACCAGAGACACCTGTAGCTGCCACAAAAGTTGAAAGGCAAAAGGCGAACTCCCTCGCACAGTGGTTCAAATGCCGATTGAAACATTTCAAGCAGCCAAACGAAGCGGAAATATAAGCACAGTCATCCCCAGGATCAGGAATAAGAATCAGGAACCATCCGGATACTGTCCTGTGTGAAATCATAAAATTGCAAAAACATTCAAATTCATTAACAATTTTTCTATCGATTTGTCGTTAGAAGGTAAGGCAAAGAAAAAGGCTTCCGAAAAGTTTCCTTTAATGTTCACTTAAAGTTCTGTACAGGCCCATGAACTTTATTAACCGCACAATAAAAGCTGCAGACTTCCATAAATTTTTCCAAGTATTAGTACATCCTTAGCGAAATGTGAACACTAAATGTTCTGTTGAGCAATTAACCGCAAGGCAAGAAGTAATTATGGAAGCATTTAATGACACCCCCAAGTCACTGTACACAGGTCCGCTTGGGCTATTGGATTTGTGCAGATCGCCGATGGGTGCGCCGGTTTCAGTAGCCACCACCAACAGCTGAACACCCGACCCCCAGTGAGCCACCCACCGACCCGTTCCACCAACCCCTTTTAAGCCACTGAAATGACAAGCTCAGAGGCCAATTACCGCAAACAAATTCGAATGCGAATGCGCATTGAAATTGTGGCAAGGTTGGTAATTTAAGACTCACGCCGTCTCGAAATAAAAGGAGTTTGGGCAACAGAGAGAGATTCCCGCCAGAGAAACCAATGCAAGAACGGTTTCTCCGTCCCACCAATTAGTGCAGGGCAAGAAATATTCACATAAAATGCAATGTAATTGAATTTAAAACGATTATATAGTTCATCTCCAAGCTTTCAATAGGCTGCATAAGCCATAGAACTGAACAATTCATATTTATCAAGGGCATTCTGCAAGTAATGCCTTACAATATATACATATTTAATATTTAATTTGCTTAAATTCAAAATTATTGAGACAAAATATTAATGAGGAGTTGCTGATTTTTTCGCGGTGTGCAAGTCCGCTTCTGACCAGGTGATTGAATTGCTGATTTAACGGTTTCTGTTGTCAAATTAATGACATTCATTCATTCCATGTGGCCGAGTCAGAGTCGGAGTTTTAAGCCCGAGCTTGAGCTGAGCAAACGTGGCCAAAAACGGTAGTTTTTTATTGCAGCTCTGGTAAATTGCAGCGCGTGTTATTATCGTTGTTATTACTGTTGCTGCCGTTGTCATTGCTGTTATTAATGTAGTTATTAAATATTTACAACTGCCGCCGCACAAAGCGTGCCTCAAAAAAGGTTTACTGAGATTGGGAGTGGGCCGAGTTCACAGCTGGGTGTCAAAGTGCAAAAGTTTAGTGCAAAGTTCTTGTCATTATTTGTTCTCCGCTTGTTGATCGGATTCTGTTTCTGTTTCCTTGTAAAGTGAAAGGGAAACGCTGGCAAATCTATTCTCGGCCGCCTTGAGTTTAAGGCTTAATTAATGGCTCTTTTATATAATTTAATTAGTTGTTAATGATTTGCTGATTGGACTGGCGCGGGTGGTGGTCCCCCATGAATCAAATGCTAAACTAGACTGACTTCGCAGGGGCTTGGCAGATGTCAGGGTTGCCCCAAGAAGTGGCTAATGGCCCAATGGCCTAATGGCCCAGTCATGACTGTCGGTAGTGATAGCGGCTAATGGCTGGAACTGCCAAAATGTGAGATATGCCAGCATAAAGAATCGTCAAACGTTTTTAAAGATACATGTAGACTTTCGGAAACTAGCCTACATTACATTTTAAGAAAAATATTTTCAACTTAGTAGGTGTAAAATATTCTAAACCCAATTCAATTGTTAAAAAAAAACAATTCAGCTTAAGATTTGAAAGTAATCAAATAGTAAATCATATTTGATCGGCTGCATTTGCATACGCCTTTTCTGGTTGCCATTGACCGAAACCGCAACTCCCACTTTCCATCTCGAATCCCCACGAATATTGCCGCCCCAAAAAATGTAAGTTGAGGCCAAATCGAACATGGCAGGCTAGACAAAATGCTTGTTGTCGATTTTCGCAGTTGATTTTGAGCAAATAGCCCAAAACTAAGTAAACAGCAACTTGCCTGCGTGAATTGCGCATTCAACATGCGTACACCACGCGATAAATAATATTGGAAAATGTTTTTAAATTTGTCACAATTTCAGCGATTGCGTGGCCAGAAACAAAACAAAAACGACAAAACAAAACGAAACCAAACGCTATAGACAGCCATTTGTAGGCTCTTAAAACATTTATCGGGAAAGCGGCGATTTCCTTGCCAATTAGTCAAGGCTTATGGGGGCGTTAAGCGAGTGCTTAACTCCGTCACGAAAATTGCCGCCAGATGGGCATAAAGATATGGCGACACATGGGCCCGGCGATAAGGTAGTAAAATACCAACGGCTTAAGCGGCAGCGACCTGTCAATATTCCATTTGATTGATTTCGATACGATTCCATGCACATGCGTTCAAAAACCAGATGCAAAATTGTGTGTGTATCAAAAACGCAATCGTAATCCAAGTGCTCCACATTTAGGCATTGAAATCCGTGTCTGGGTATCGTTTTCCGAGCATTTTATTGCCACACCACAGCAATAATCTAAATACTCATATCGAAAACGCATGTCGGGAGCAAGAGCCAAACCCAAATCGCGGCTAAAATGCCAAATGGCCAAGACGATGGCAGTGGCACACGCAACAGGCAAAAGGGAAATTCTCCTGTTGCTCTTGCTCTTGGTTTTGGTGTGCTCATACTCTTGATACCTCCTGTATTTGAGTTTATTAAATAAATAAAATTATGAAATATAGGAAGTTAATTGTTAAGTCTTCTCGCTCTAAAAACAAACTCAATTATTGCTTGGAAATACCTTTATTAAATCAGTGGTCAAAGACCAAATACAAAGGAGCATTTTTAACATATTATATGCTCTGATTCTGTAATTATAAAGCTAATATTTTTTAGAGTAATTACATTAAATTTTATTCTAAGGGCATTTCAAACTTCCACACCTAGCAAGCATAACTATATTTCATTTTTTATACTCCCTTGCTTATATACGATAAGTGCAGTAACTCAGTATTAACCACTTACACGTTAATTTAGGCACAAATTGAATTAATAAACCATGTTGGACATTGTGTGCGGTCCAAAGGAAACTGAAGCGAGCCAGCTCCTTTTCATATTCGTTAATTTATGCGCGGAACACGGCTCAATGAACCACGAAAACAACTGGCTGGCCAACAACGCAGCCAAATTTGAATTTACAAGCACGTAACCTGTGCGAGCCCCCCTCGATTGGCCCCCCTTCGACCCAACCCCCCTATTTTAGCCACCTCTTTGCAGGCTTCCTTCTCTTTGCCAAACGCTGACGTGATTGGCTTCGAATTTGGCTCCTTTCGGTTCCACTCGCTTGTAAATTAGAACACGCTCAAAAATGTTACCTACACAATTTGCATGTCGCTGCTACCCATAAAAATGAGAGACCCCGTGACGATACTCGATCCCCTGCCCACGGGATGTCCCCTGAATGCCCCCAAAGATTGATAAAAAAATATACAAAAAAACACTACAAGGTCTAGAGGCAAATTGCGTAAACCTGACTTTCATTTACACCTT